TCTCTTCCCTCTCTCCTCCTTCTCTCCTCCCTCTCTTCTCCCTTTCTTTTCCCTCTTTCTTCCCTTTTTTTCCCTCTCTCCTCCTTCTCTCCTCCCTCACTCCTCCCTCTCTCCTCCCTCTCTCTTCCCTCTTTCCTCCCTCTCTCCTCCCTCTCTCCTCCTTCTTTCCTTTCTCTCTCCTCCTCTCTCTTCCCTCTCTCCTCCCTCTCTCCTCCCTCTCTCCTCTCCCTCTCGCCTTCCCTCTCTCCTCCCTCTCTCCTCCCTCTCTCCTTCCCTCTCTCTTCCCTCTCTCTTCCCTTTCTGTTCCCTCCTTCTTTTCTCTCTCTTCCCTCTCTCTTCCTTTTCTCTTCCCTTTCTCTTCCCTTTCTCGTCCCTCTCTCTTCCTTCTCTCTTCCTTCTCTCTCTCTTTCTCTCTTTCTCTCTCTCTTCCCTCTCTCTTCCCTCTTTCTTCCCTCTCTCTCCTCCATCTCTCCTCCCTCTCTCCTCTTCTCTCCTCCCTCTCTCCTCCATCTCTCCTCCTTCTCTCCTCCCTCTCTCCTCCCTCTCTCCTCCCTCTCTCCTGCCTTTCTCTTCCCTCTCTCCCCCCTCTCTCCTCCTTCTCTCCTCCATCTCTCCTCCCTCTCTCCTCCCTCTCTCCTGCATCCCTCTTCCATTTTTCATCCTTCTTTCCATCCTCTTTCTTCCCTTTCTCCTCCCTCTCTCCTCCCTCTCTCCTCCCTCTCTCCTCCCTCTCTCCTCCCTCTCTCCTCCCTCTCTCTTCCCTCTCTCCTCCCTCTCTCCTCCATCTCTCCTCCCTCTTTTTTCCATCTCTTTTCCCTCTCTCCTCCCTTTCTCCTCCCTCTCTTCTCCATTTCTTTTCCCTCTTTCTTCCTTCTCTTTTCCGTCTCTCCTCCTTCTCTCCTCCCTCACTCCTCCCTCTCTCCTCCCTCTCTCCTCCCTCTCTCCTCCCTCTCTCTTCCCTCTCTCTTCCCTTTCTCTTCCCTTTCTCTTCCCTCTCTCTTCCGTCTCTCTTCCTTTTCTTTCTCTCTCTCTCTCTCTCTTCCCTCTCTCCTCCCTCTCTCTTCCCTCTCTCTTCCCTCTCTCTTCCCTTTCTCTTCCCTCTCTCCTCCCTCTCTCCTCCCTCTCTCCTCCCTCTCTCCTTCCTTTCTCTTCCCTCTCTCTCCTCCCTCTCTCCTCCCTCTCTCCTCCCTCTCTCCTCCCTCTCTCCTCCCTCTCTCTTCCATTTTTCATCTTTCTTTCCATCCTCTTTCTTCCCTTTCTCCTCCCTCTCTCCTCCCTCTCTCCTCCCTCTCTCCTCCTCCTCCCTCTCTCCTCCCTCTCTCTTCCTTCTCTCCTCCCTCTCTCTTCCTTCTCTCCTCCCTCTTTTTTCCCTCTCTTTTCAATCTCTCCTCCCTTTCTCCTCCCTCTCTTCTCCCTTTCTTTTCCTTCTTTCTTCCTTCTCTTTTCCCTCTCTCCTCCTCCTCTCCTCCCTCACTCCTCCCTCTCTCCTCCCTCTCTCCTCCCTCTCTCGTCCCTCTCTCCTCCTCCTCTATTCCCTCCCTCTTCCCTTTCTCTTCCCTCTCCCTCTCCTCCTCTCCCCCTTCTCTGCCCCTTCTCTCCCCCTTCTCTCCCCCTTCTCTCCCCCCTTTTTCTTCCCTCTCCTCCTCTCTCCCCTCTCTCTCCTCTCTCTCCTCTCTCTCCTCTCTCTCCTCTCTCCTCTCTCTTTCCTAATCTTTTCTTTTTTTGAAGAGGGGGGAGAGAAAAGAAAGAAAATAGAGATAGAGAGACGAAAGAAAGAGGAAAACAAGGAAATAGAAAAGAAAGAGGTGAGAGGGGTTAGAAGGGTTGGGGTGAGGGTAGGGGGGGGGGGGGTAAGGAGAGGGGGAGGGTAGAGGGGATGGGATAGAGGGGTGTATGGAGTTAGAGGGTGTAGGGAATTAGAGGGTTTGAGCGGCATAGGGTGATATAGGAGAGGATATAAGGGGGTGGTATAGTGGGTATAGGGGGCAGGGAAAGATATTTTTTGGTTTGTTGTGTGTTATTTTGTTTGTATACTGTATATGTTTTTATATTTGATTTTATTCTTGATTTGTGTTTTTGTAAATCGATGTTGATATGAGCCCGATGGATATGGAAATGGATGGTGCGCATATTGATTCTTTTGGTATTGATAAGGATTTGAGATGGTTGTTTGGTATTGATTTGAATTTGGAGGTTTTTTGTTGTTGTTGAATTTTGTATGGGAGAGAGATATTATTATTTTATGATTGGGTGTGTTTGTTGTAGATTAGGTGGTCGATTGGATTGGAATTTAGTAGTAGGAATAATGATTTAAGATTTGGTAAGGAATCGTTAGGATTTTTTTTTGTGGTGTTTTTTATTATTTATTTAATGTGTTGTTTACAAATTATATTAGGTGTTAGGGATGATTTTAAAGAATTTTAAATTATTTTTTTTTGTATATTGATTTATGTTAAAACAATATATAGTTGTTGTTTTTTGATATATAATAAATTGATAATCGCTATTTAAAAAAAAAAAAAAACGAATTGATATTTGGGATTATATTTTTTTGGGGGGTCGTAGCCATGCGAGCCACGAGGCGAATTTGGATCTTGTTTTTTGCCTTTTATGTATTGTATTAATTTCCCTATTGGTAACGGCCCTAATAAGCGTATTATTTTAGTTAGATTTTTTTTTTGTGTTGGAAGATGGGGGAGCGGTTGGGGTTGTGGTAAGAGGTGGATTAGAGTGTTAAAGACAAGTAATTCTCGGTTGTTTATGGTGAAATCTCGATGATGTGATAATGATCTTATTTTAGATCGCAAAGTTTGGATTGGCTCATAACACGCCCGTCAGATTCATTGCCTCAAATTATGAATATGCCGCTTTTTAACCCTATAATTACCGAAAAATTAATCGGCAGATCCGTTTTCTTGCCGTAGGTGTCGGTCCGGGACCGACGGGTTAAGAGCTGATTTCTTGAAAGCTCTTCTGGGTTCCGACTCGGATGAGATTATGGTGCCTTTTTTTTCATGCTTTCGTTTAATTGTTGGGGATTGGTTCCCATTTATTTATGCCCTTGGATTGGCGGAGACCAATTAATTGGGGTTGGGAAGACCGATGCTCGGGGAGAACCCACCCCGTTGAATGAGGATGCTCGCCTGATTGTTATGGGGCTTACTTAGTGGAAATTTGTGTTTAAATTCATTTTGGCGATGTCCCGAAGTTTACCAGTATTTGGCATCCAGTTAGTTAGCCGTCGGCATTTTTTGTGGTGTTGAGATCATGATCCATACGACACGAGAGTGGATTGGATAAATATTGCTAGGCCCATTTATGTTCTTCTGTAGATTGATATTCGCAATGTGTTTAATGAAATGTTGCCTATTCAATTCTTGAAGGTGCCCGCGATTATACTCCGTCCTCGGCTCGGTTTTCTTCTTATTGTTATAGAACCCCATTTTATTTCAGTTACCAAAGACAATTAGAACAATGTTCGTGAGGATAACCAGGTTGCCCTATTATGAATCCTTTGTTTTGTCTTATTCGTCATCGAATACAAACAAATTGTCGTGTTCGCCGCTAGCGACAGGACCCCGCCGGAATTTACGCCGGTTTTTGCGGACGATAGGTTTATGGGGGGAGAGGTTAAAGATGTTTGGGCTGCGTTGCAACAATAGATATGTTTGGCTCAGGAATACGGGTTTCATATCTAACTACACAAATGCACATTGTACCTTCTTACGGGGGAACAATTCCGCGGAAATGTTTCGTATTTCTAGGCGTTGAGAGTTATTAAAATTACTAGTCATAATGTGTTCATGCTTAGAGCGCCTGTTGCGGGGTCGGCGCAGTATTTTTTCATAATTTCTATTATGAATAGAAGAATCAGGAAACTAAGAAGCTCTTTTCTACGATAGAACATTTTATGCAGAGTAGTGTTGTGTTTAACAAAATACAATATTTGTGCCGCATCACTCCTCGATCATTGATTGGATTATGTTTAGATTTCTTCCATGATCGAATAACAAGATATTTGGAATTATATTTTAGTATTGTTTTGACTCGAATCTAATGATCGCAAGCCAAATTGCTTGCTAAGTAAGGGGGACTTGGATTTCTTAGTTCGCGAGCCGAAATCGGCTTGGAGATTCTTCACCTAGCGGATTTTACTTACGTGGCGTCAAAGCACAAGTGCTTGAAATCTTGTTTTTAGATTTTTATCCAATTTTTCCCGTCCAAATTAATGCAAAATATGAAGCTTAAGCCCTATAGCATATCATACGTTTCCTCGTAGCGTCCCGGTTTTCAGGATCCGAGAATGGAGATATAACAAGTTATTTTGTTAGCAACTATTCATTCTAAGGTAATTCGTTTCTTAATGGAATAACCGGATATAGTGGGATAAACGCGGTTGCGCACTTTTGCTGTCTCAGGAGTAGATGGTTGGCTTCGGGTACGCCCCGCTCTGGCTTAGGATTTGTTGCTTACCAATATTGTATTTCGAGATTTGTTTCTATGCGGCTGGGAGGTCCATGTTTTTTGAATAGGGTGAGGCATATTATATTTGCCACCAAAATTTGGTTCGGACATTATACTTTTTATTGCATAAAACATGGACATAAGTAGGCCACGCACACCATTTTGAAGCTGGCGCGCGACTCTCGTTGGAGCTTGTGAACCTATTACCCATTGATTCCCTAATAAAACCTACGGATGTTCTGGTGATGGGAGACCCGTAAATTCTTTCCTGGATGTAGTGGTTATATCTCCTTTCCAATCTCGTATCTTGGGAGTGGTGGCATAGGAATCATTGGCAGCAGCACGGCAATACACCGAACATAAACGCATTTATAATGATTTATGGAGTCGATGTGTGGCTCAAAATATTGGTTATAAGCCTTTGGTTTGGAAAAATACGGGTGGATTGGATTCCGAGGGAAAACGATTCTTTCGATCCTTTGCTCGCATGCTGGATGAAAAACATGCTTTGTGTTTTGGAATTACATAGACCCAACTTAAAATCCGAGTTTTATTTAAATTGTAGAGAAATCATTATTTGGTATGTGAAAAGAATCGGGAGGCGGCGTTTGGCCGCACATATAGGTGATTTTGGAGGTATGCTCCAAGGATGATGAACTGGTTTCCTTGGTTTTGTTTGCTACTCTCGATGAGTGTTTCGATCATTTCTAATGCATAGCGGAGTCCTTTACGATTATTTTTCTTAATTTGTATTTAGTGGAATTATTATTCCTTGGGTTCCGAGGAATTTATGTTTTTTGGATCGAGATTTTCGGCCTTTTTTGTGTGTTTGGTTTGGGCTTTGTTTTTGGAATAGGGTAATACAATCTCCGTGCCTAAAGTGGCGTTGGGTTGTGGGTGGGCGAGATTTTATTTCCCGATTTTATTTTGTCGATATTATCCTCGAGCATCTCGATTTGAAGATTTGGGCTGAATTGCCTATTGTATTATAGATTGTTAATCTTTTTGCGGAAGTAGTTGCGTATAATCTAGCTCCGGATGTTGAATAATAAATGTAAATATATTTAATTTGAAAAATATATTTTAAAATAATAAAATATAAAATGAAAAAAAAAAAAAAAATAATAATAAAACAATAATATAAAAAAACAAATATAATTATATAAAGATAAAATATATATATATATTGAACATATAAATTTTGAATAAATTAAATTATATAAATATACAAAAATACAATAAAGAATATAAAAAAATAATAATTTGAATTGGAATATTTCGGAATATATATATATATAAGCACAAATTTTATTTCGGAATTCCGGAATTTTCTTTTAACCTTTCTCTCCCCAAATTTGCATTAGACCACCCCGGAGCCTCCGGAATGTATTTTAAATTTACCAAAATCTTCGGAAGCTCATTCTAGACCTCCCCCAAATCCCCCCGAAACGTTATTTGGGCTAAGACCCCCCCCCCCCCTTACTCATAATTGTTAGAAAATAAATATTTATTAAAGGTTCCGGAGATTCAGATTAAGGATTTAAAAAACAATCCGGAAATTCGGGGTAATTTAATATATATGAAATATAAAATTTAATTAAGATTCCGGGATAAGTTTAGTATAACCAAGATTAGATTCAATCAAAATTCTAATAGCACTTCCGGGTTCCAAAAAGGACATAATATCAAAGAAAATTCCCGAATAATATAATATTGGAAGCCAAATATATGAATTAAGGAAAATTTTAAATTCGAATAATATAGCCAAATCCAAGCTCAAAATTCAAAATAGATCCGGAATAATAAAATTAAGATAAAAACATAAAATTCAAAATAAATTTAACAAGCTAATCTAATATAATTGTATTTTTTTAAATAATATTATTGTTATATAAAGTTGGTTAAATAACATATAAATTAAATAATTAAAATATATAGTATTTTTTTTATATAGTTCATCCAATATATATACCATTATTATATATAAACAACAATTTATATCAATATATTAAAATAAATCAAATAAACATTATAATAATAAAAAACACCAATATTTAAAACCAAAATTCAAAAACACAATAATTCAAAAAATCACAACAATTCAAAAAATCACAATAATCACAATAATATTAATCACAATAATATAAAACAATAAAAACAACAATTTATAAAACTATAATACCATATATAACAAAAAATCAAAAATAATACAACCATAAAATCACAAAAATACAATCACAAAAAAACAACCACAAAACACATAAAACCACACAACAACAAAAAACACAAAAAACCAAATACCAAACCACACACCACGAACACAAAAACACAACCATACAAAAATACAAAAACATAAAAACATAAAAACAAAACCACAAAAACATACAAACACAAAACCACACAATCATACAACCACACAATTATGCCATCACACAACTACAACCAAACAAACACACAACTACACAAAAATGGAAATACATAGTGCAGCACAAACTACATATTAAGAAATATTACAAGTGAGATACAAAACTAAATATATATATATATAAAAACACAAAGAGATATCAATACATAATATCCAATCATTATCACAAATTAATTTAATTGTCATTTATAAACACTAAAAAAATCAAATATTATTATCAATACAATACCCAAATTATATATATATATAAAATTATATATATATATATAGATATTTAACAAAATCAAAAACAAATAATAACAATAATAAAACAACAATTATTAAAATTACGGACACAAATGTACCGTTTTATAAGCTAATATCTATATGTATTTATACATACACATAAAACCCTCTATAAATCGCTAAATTTTGGCATTGCACGTCTTTTAATTTGCGGTCGCAGCTGCTCCCGGGCCTGTTTTGGCTCATGAGTTGTAATTACGGAATCAAGATAAACAGTTCTCAACATTGTGAGAATCAATAAGAAAAAGTAGACATGCTTTTCAGGTTGTGTTTTGTTGGGATTTGATTTTGAACAGGGACAGCTGCCAAACGTTGCCCAGTCATGTTCCTTTACCCATGGACTGCACCAATACGTAGAAACGACGTCTGAAACATAAATGTCGTTTATAGCTGTTTTCCTCACAAGCGCACGTCTTCGCGCAGGTTTTCGGCATCTCCCAAAACATACACGCATGTTTGCCACACCCATCCGAACCTCTCCAAACATTGTGCTCTTTCTGCCCGCCTGGCTTGCACTTGCGCGATTCGTGGGCGAAGGCGCGCTTGGCACCAAGGAGGAAGTGGAGACGAGCTCAGGCGCCTGCGCCGGCCACGGCGGGCCCCAAACTCTTTCGGGAAAATGGAAGACATGCATACGGGTATGGGTCAAAATTAAATCACCAGGGGACCGCAGGTTTTAGTCCATGTTTCCATTTACCAGGGTTCCATTTGGGGTACCTGTTTGTGACCCACAGCCATACATCAAACCTAAAAAAAATGACATGTCATCACATGTGCACTTTGACATCTAACATGCAAGTATGAACATGTCATCACATGTATACGTTAAAACATCTTAATTCATGTTAATACAAGTGAGTTCTAAGCACACAAGTAAATATGAGTACTTGGTATAGTATGTTGGTGTCACTTGGTGGCTGTATTTGTCACGGTTGAAGCAGCCGATTCATCACATTTACAAGCAGCCCGCCTCGGCTCGCGTCCCAGGCGGCCCTGCAGCAACTGCCGGCGCCTGATCGGCAAGCCACAAGCAAAGACCCTTGACTGCCGCCAGATGGCTGCTCCCACACATTTGCAGACAACAACACACACACACACAGAGAAACATATAATCACTGCAAACTAAACATGATCGGAGGAACACTGCACACCATCTTCAACGGTTTACCAACTGCTTGATTTCACCCTGGTTGCTTTTCAATCGGAAGCCAAAGGAAAGCGGGACGGTGCGAGCTCATAGCTCACTTGCGCAATTCATTCCCAAAGGCCATGCGTGCGCGAATTGTTGCTAGTTATGTTCTCTGTCGCCCTCTAGCTTTTGGTCATCGACGTGACAAGCTAATCCGCTCCCCCTATTAATAAATACGGGTCCCCCCCCTATTATAAATAAATCCTCCCATGTGTTGTTTAATTGGGGTTTTCGGAATTGTTCTTTTTTGCTTTTCCAACAATGTGAGGGTTCACATAGGATTTGGAGGAAATGGACTGAATTGTAAGGTCCGCGAGTAAGCGGTTTAATAAGGAAATTTGATGTATCATTCTATTTGTTTTTCAGTTTACTGGTTGTTTGTGATTGACTGCTAGACAGTCCAGTGCTCGAGAAGGCAGTGTGGGTTTCAAGACAGCCAGACATGCATTCAGTGATAGGAAGGCAGCCAGCAGTCAGCCAGCAGGGCACAGCTAGGCAGAAAACTCAGACCAGACAGCATTTTGCTGATCTGGGCGGCAGCAATGGCTGGAGATGGTCAAGGCAGCCAGACTGGTGGCCAGGATGGACACACCGAGCAGTCCTTGCAGAGCTTCGTGCAGTCCTTGGACCCCAGCCAGATGGCCATCTTGCGCCAGATGTTGGAGAACAGCCAGGACAGGGGGAAGGGGTAGATACAGATCAAACATTGGTCTAATTCAGAATGGCGATTGTTTATCAAGCATCACATGTGTTTTATCAAGCATTTCCTTGATGGTCTAAGAAGGCTGCAAGGAGTGAACAGACAGTCCAGGATGCCCCAGCAGTCAGAAGCCGTCCAGCCGCAAGAGGTCGCCCAAGCCAGTGGAGCCAGCCAGGCAAGACAGAGACAGCTAGGTCAGCCTAGCTGGGTGCAGCTAGCCCGGAGTAAGTGTGGTTTGGGTCCCCATAACCCCTACAAAAAGAGGGACAGCCAGGCAGAAAGGATGTTTCGTAGTTTTTTGGGGCAAGCCCAGGACAGAGCTCTGCCCAGGCAGCCAGACCAGACAGACCGCAGCCAGGTGATAAACGCAGTCTGCAGCCCAGTTCTTTTACCCCCTTCGAACCCTTTGTGGAGGCACTGGTTTCCTTAATATCCCCCAAAGCATTGAAACTTGTTTGCATTGAAGTCAGGGAGTCAGGGACAACCAGGGACAACCTTTTGGGGAGAGAGTCAAGAACAACCTTTTGGGGAACCCACCAAAAGAACCCAACCTTTTGGGGAAGCCAGCTTTTGGGGAAGCAACCTTTTGGGGAATTGAGGAACCCACCTTTTGAAAAGTGAGGCTGGAAGCTTGCTAAAAGTGCCCCCAGACTTTAGTATTGGTTTAGTATTGGCGCAATGGAAAATCAATTGTGCGGAGTGGAAATCTGGTCTCGGGCCCCGGATTTGCATTTATTTTTACCGGGGGTCATTCATTAATAGGGGGAACGGATTACTTGGCACGATAAACCTAAGGTGCGTTTGTCTCCATGATTGGCCGGGAATCCACTTGATGGCCCCAAGAGCGGGTTGTTTTGCATTGAAGCAGCCTCATGTTTCTCAGCAGCCCGCCTTGGCTTGCGCCTCAGGCGGCTGTTCTGCTGCTGCGGGCGCCTGTCAAACGGCGAGCAAGACACTTGCACCCAGGGAAGTCTGGGCTGAAGACAGTTCATCGAATTCGATTGAGGTTTGCCCTTACTTCCCCCTAGTTTCCCCTTGCTTCAGCCTGCTCTCTCATTGTGTCCTCGAGTTCGTTTTCCCACGCTGTTCACAGCTACTCCATGTAAGCAATAGTTACCAACATCTGCCCTCCGAATGGGTCAAATGTTTGTATATATGGGTATGGGTCAAAACAAAACCACCAGGGGACCGCAGTTTTTAGTCTTTGGCTGGATTTACCAGGGTTCCCTGGTCGGTACGCATTCTTGACCCACAGCCATATTGCCTCTAGCTTCGATCTGACTCCCACCTGGCTTGGAAGGACGGCAGAGAAAGGCTCCCATTGAGGCAGACCTTCCCACGGACGCAAGGCGAAACATCTCCAAGGCGCACTCCCCGCCTACTCCATGCCACGTGAATCGGCATCGATCGGAAACAAAAGATCCCCACCGAAAAGGGAACGCCCCCAATAGCAAGTGGGGAGCGCTTCAGTTTCACGCGTCAAGGTTTACCAGGGGGGGTTGGCAAATCCAAGGCCCTGTTTTCCCCCAACAGCTGAAAGCTATGGGGTCTCTGCCCAGACAGGATTTGGGGTTGGGACAGCTTTCAGGGAGGGTAATTTAATGTACAACTCTCCAGGGTTCAACAAAAGATTTGTTTCCCGGGTTCCAGTTTTTGGTTTTTGTTTGGGATGTGGACATGTTCTGGGCTTCTTGGGGATCCGCGCGTCGTGTTGCACCGCCCGTCAAGGCCCCCGGCCGTTGGCCCCCAGGTCTGGGAGGTGCGGAAGCCGCGCCTGGGATTTGTTGATGTACTGGTCGAATTGTGATAGACATGATGCGCGATGGTATGAAATGAAAGGCACATGTGGCACACTAAAATTACAATAGATGTTTCAGTTTGGCTGTCTGCCAGCGTCATCGACTTGCTTTCAAACCGGCGGAGAACCCACGAGACCTGCCTCCACAGGCGCGCGAGTCGCTGGTACTGGCACCTTGGCACCCCATAGCTTGAGTTCAGCCAAGGCTTGTCTGTTGCGATCTTGTGGTGGACAGAAACATTTTTGGAAGTTTATGGGAACAAGTGCTGCGGGACGCTTTTCAACGGCCGCCATGTTCGCAGGTTCTGCCGCTAGAACTGGAATGCCCACAAGAAAAAGGCTCACACAAGGACTGCCCACAGGATGGCCACAACAACAAGATCAGCTGTCAGGAGGGAGGATGCATAGGGACAAGGCTGAATGAGTTCTCTCTTCATATTTTTTCTGGGGCCTCTGGCTTATCAACAAAACCCTGGTTAGTTTTGAGTCCAGAATCTGTGCCACCCCAAATCCCTCAGCCGTTGCCTCCTTGTCTCCGAGCTCGACCTCCTGCGAGAGAAATGAAAGAAACATATTGATTGATCTGACACCGCACCCATGACAACGGCAGGTCGCAACCAGTGATGGCATGTCACACCGCGTCCCTTTCCTCGCTGTACGTCAGGGACGTGAATGATACTCCCTGAACCCAGTATCCCTTTCATGAACCTGGAACCTATGTGTGTAGAGTGCATCTCCTCACAATTAGCCCCGCGGATTTCCCATCGCGATGCTCCAGTTGGCATACGCTTCATAAAGTGGGCTGCACGCGCAGTATACTTACGTTTCCATATTTCGACACATCGTTCTATATTGATATGTATACTCAATCGTTTGCTTCATTCATGTTGATCACCCAGGGACGTATCCCGACTCCACCCAGAATCTCCTCGCTGGGTGGGACCACCATGTGGGAGATCCTGCGACAGCCTGTGCAAAGTTGGGGCCGGTGACTCGGTCATCCAACCCCATCGGATTGACAGCGGGCAACTTTGAGGTATCCACAAAAGATTGAGCGGTTTTTCTGTGGTCCCCAAAGAACAAAAAAACACAACAACAAAAAACGATCCACACACTTTGTCGGTCCAGCTAGGCTTCATACTGTCCGAGTAAACCATCGCCAAAGGATTCAAACGTGCTCCACCCCCTCTTGTGCGCGTTGGGTATCTTCCATGTTAGGGGATAAAACAACAAACACCAAAGATGAAAGATGATGACCAGCGTTACGTATATGTTTTCGGCGGCTTTTGGGATTCAGGTGAAAGCCGGTTCCCTTAAACGCCTCCTGGGGGGGCTTGTTGGTTTGAACGTGCGAACCATGATGAACATGTGTCAAAACAAGCCCCCCTAACTGGTCGGTTGCATGGTGTTCCCCTTAGCTTGCTAGTTGTCTCAATGTGTGCCAGTTGCCTAGCCGTGGGTGAAACAACGGAGCCATATAATCAATATAACAAACCCTTTTGGGTGCAAAAAAACAAAGGTGTCACTGAACAACTGGCTGTGTCAAACCTGTGAATCCACTGCCACTCACAGGCTAGCCCAGAAACAGTTCCTGCACTTAAATGGCCGTTCTTTGTTCCAGAGAGGTTTAAGGGGAACTTGTGAAACACATGCCCACCATGCACAAGGCAACGCAGCCAGAGGGTTGAAGTGGCAAGGATCGTGAAAGAAAACAAGTCCACACATCCCCCAAACTGACAACTCATCCCCCTGCTGTACATTTTTCTACCATGGAAATCAGAGATGAGCTCTGCCCAAAGGACCTTAGGGAAACCCAGAAGGTCAAAAGGTCGGCGTGGAAAACAACGAGAATGAACGTGCTCCCTATACCTCCCCCAAACCAGTACCAGGAAACTCCCTTTGCGTGGGCTTAAAGGGCGATCTTTAGATCCACGTGCCACTCCCGCGCCTGCATTTGCCTCACCTCGGCCAATTTCATCGAGCAAGAAGTGGAACTGCTTGAGTTGTTCTGTGGAAGGCCCGCATTTTCCCCAAACAAGCGCAGGTTAGAGGTTCAGTACTGACTTGAGGCTCGGTAAAAGGCCTGCAGAGGCCCTAAATGAGAGTGGCCCTGATATGGCCGCGGCTCAAATTCGTGATGCTTGACTGATTGGATCTGGAACATTCCTGTGGTCGACTTGCCGTTGCGTGGGAGCCTGCAAAAAAGGACACCAACTCAATTCTGTATCCTTATTGAAATGAGCTGCCGCAAAATGTGATTGTTGTTCCGGACAAGCGTGCAGCTTGTGCGTGCGTGCGCGCGTGCGTGCGAGCGTGCGCGCGTGTGTGTGTGTGTGCCTTGTGCAATGTCCTGCACATCTTGTACTCATATAGTGTGTATGACACAACATAGAAACAGGTAATGTAAAATAACTTCATATACAGGGAAATAGGAATCGAAACAGGAACCCGATTTCGTCAGCCAGCGGCGCACGCTTGACCCTTTTTAGTTGCTTCAGTGGTTGCCCAACCCAAAACAAGACGAATAAGAGGGATCTGAACTATCAAAATTCTGTACTGATAAGTTGCATCCTGAAGGGTTTTCTTGTGGCCGGACAAGGCGAGGTACTTTCTACTAGTGCCAGAGCTACGATCTTGATAAAAACCACTCAGCCTCATGATAAAAAACCGTCTTCCATCGTTTCTTTTTTTGGTTGTTTTTCTTCTTTTTATTTGGGGGGAGTCCCCCGCTTGACATTGGGGGGAAGGGATTAACCGAGCCAGTTCCCCCAACACACGAATTGGTGGCCACATCGAACCAAACCGGCAGGAATCGAAAGTCAGTTCCTGACCACGGCAATCCCATTCATGAGGAATCGAACCGTAGCACAATATGATGCAATGTAACATAATCATGTAATGCAATCTAACAAACGAGAACATCATACAGTGTCATACAGTGTATATATATATATATATCCATGTATGCGTCTTGGGAGATATCATAACGCCACAAACTACACGCATGCAAACATTTCGTGGTTCATGTACTTCCGTAGCACCCACCAGGACTCAAACAAAACGAGACAAACCTGCGGCACCGAACTTCGCTATTGGGGGGGTGTTCCCTCCAAATGTGATGAATCCCCACAAAAGGGGGACACCCCCCAATCAAACTCAACCAGGGGTTCTGCTTTATCCGGGGTTAACATTTGTACTTTCAAGCTCGAAAAGCAAGCAACTCTTTTGGAGGAGTGCGCCAAGGAGTTCCTCTGGTTCCTCTGACCTTAAGCCGTTCCTAAGCCCTGGCGGCGCGGTGGGCTAAGGTCTGGGCCCGATGGCACGATGGATGCGCAGCTTGGCCGCCTGCATTGGAGGGCGAGTTTGTGTCGCTAGTTTCGGGGTAGAACATGGCACAATGTATAAAACAACGTGCCCATATGTGCCAATCTTGTGATTTTTCGGGATCAGCTGGTGTCTGACTTCGTGGTAAGGCAAAAAGGCACCCGTTTTGGACCATACTTCAATGCGCAACCAACAAAAGCGATGAACACAAATTCTCGGGACAACTGGGACTGGGTATTGTCGAAACATGGCATTACTTCAACTGGGGGAGAATTGCCTGACTGCTTCCTCGCTACACCGAGTGCGCGGGAAGCAATGGCGCTTCCCTCGGACCTCCTCCCTGTCATCAAGATGTCAGTAGTCTCTTGGAACTTGCAATGGTCTTCTAGGTGCTGATTGCTTGTAGTCAGCAGTGCAGTCAGTACGGCACGCCATTTCATACATGGACATGAAACTTTGCTATGAGGCTTCGCGTTCTGAAGCTCAAAAGGGTTGGAGACTCCTCCCTCAGCCTCAGCCGCCAGCGCTCAAGGCTTCAACATTCAACCCGTCGCGAATCCGACGGCTGACGCAATCAGCTTTTGCATGATGAACCGCGAGCACAAGCAATAGTTACCCCTTGACAATATATTTCCTTTGTCATGGACCCATCGATCTGTCGATTTCCCACTTATGCAGGCCAGGCAGTACATCTTGGTGCAACCCAAGGATGCAGGTTCGGAGTCTGATTGAGACCCCACATACACGTGCAGATACATATTACACAGTATGTAGTTTGCATCAAAGCCAGCGTGCTGCTGCCCCAGATCTTGCCA